AGACCATTGTCTTATTTATCGCCCTAAGGTCTTGTAGTAGCCTCCACTTTTTTGACCTTTTCTGGATAACAAAGATAGGTGTGTTCCAAGGGGAATTACTAGGAACAATGTGGCCTGTATCTAACTGGTTTTGCATCAGCTGCTGTGCGGCTGCAAGCTTTTTAGAGTTAAGGTTGTTTTTAAAGGCTTATATGAATCCCCAATTGGCCATGGAGGCACAGGGAGTGGCGGGCTGCCATCCTGGGACCTGTTGATCATGTGAACAGGTGGAAGTGGTGGCAGATCACCATGTACAAGGACCTCTAACAGGCCATCATTTTCTGCATTTGAGAAATCAGAGGCTTTAGATTTTTTTGAGGACGGTTTTGAGGTAGATTTAAGGGAGTCGCGCAAGGCAGCCTCACCCAGTGCAACTGTCTCTTCAACCTGAGGGTCTGCATGCCTCTGGGCAAGCAGCTCAGAAATTAAATTCCAATATGTAAAGGTGGTCACAGGAACCTTTTCTGGACCGAAAACTCTATAATAATCTTTTAAAACATCTCTTATTGTATTTCACCTCTTGGTATCTATAGAACCCTCTAGGGGGAACCAAGGGCAAACCTTATGAATAAACTGAAAATACTGTAATAATTTTTGTTTTTTAACCCTTATCTCTCTTGTCTTTAATGCCTTTATAAGGCCTCTGACGAACAGTTCATGTTCGCTCAATACTTGACCCATGTCGGGAAAGGGAAATGGGGTTGCCGTTTACTCACCGTGACTCGGGCAGGACGTCGGGTAGTCGTCTGCGCAGGTCTCGGCACTTGATTTAATGTCCTGTTGTTTTAAGCTTTAATCCTTGATTCAGTTTACTCATTCCTCGGCCGAGGTCTCTGGTTTAATTTGCTTTCACTTTCTGTTTAAGCCGGCTGTCTCTCGAACGGCTCCCTCGTTAACTTCTCCGTGTCAGGGGCCCCACGTTGGGCGCCACTTGATCCGGCCTGCAGATCAACAAGTTTAGAACTCCTGGAGGAGAAACGGGGATTAAATAAAAGACATGGGGGAGACAAAAAGAGACGAAGGCAAGTTGATGTTAACCCAATCAAGCCTCCGGTTTATTGAGAAAATAATCACACCTTTTATAGGCTAAGGGCGGGAGCTGGGACAGGAAGAGGTTAAACAGATGAATACAACAGGGTTACCATCACATCTGGATAAGTGACATAAGCAGAAGAGGATTATGGTTAATGTAGGCAGACGCAGTGCCCATAGGAGAGAGAGAGAGAGAGACATCTAGGCAGCAATGCCTGTCACTCGGCTCCCTACACCTCACCATACTGGTGTTGACTAAGATGAGAAGGTGTGGGCTTTGAGTGTTTTTCTGTGAGGGTAGAATAGCTCACTTGCAATTCTGGACATTTTTGTCTGCAATTTTCTTGGTACTGGATCTCCTACCATTTCAAACCTCTGAGGGGTCTAATCAGAGCTGATACTGAGTTTTTCTAAGTTTTCATAAGTATTGGTAGTTTTTATGTTTTCTGTTGTACTCCAAAATCGAGACCCCAAAATACTGTCCAAAAATGGGGCAAGATGTCTCTTTTAAAGAAAAAGAAGCACTTTTTATTTATCCTGGCATCAGTGACACAGTGCAGTTGGAGTTTGCAAAGCTGGGTAACTCGCTTAAAATTTTGACAGACTTATAGAAAAGACAATTACAAAGTAAATGATTTACCGGTGTTCATCAGGAATGAGGAAATCCTTTGTTTCTCTTTGCTTAAAGACAGAGAAATTCCCCAGGAATTTACAGTCCTTTGTCAGCTAATTTCAGCACTTAGTCTTAGATAACACCTGTCCTTACAGAGGGGAACAATTGTTAACATATTAATTAAGTCACCCAGGAAGATGGCATATACAGAACAGTATGATGGGCTCTACAGTTATTTTATAACAATATGGTCCGTGCCCCAAGGTATCCAGTTGTAGAAAATAGTTGCGTTTGCAAAGGATTAACAAGTAATTTGGTCATATAACTTGGGCATTGGCAAACAGGACAAAGCTCTTTTTGTTAGTGTACAGCATTTTTTTTTCTATCTGGGAACAGAAATAACAAACAATTTACTCTGCTCACAGGGCCAGGGATATAATTCCACAGATTTGAAAACAAATCTGGGTATTCATCACTAAATGTAAAAGACACCAAAACAGTACATAAAGGGATTCTTAGAAGAAACCTGAGGGATTCAAGTCCACCATGGAAACCAAAATATACATGACATCCTACAGTGAGAATATCATCACTTATCATACACACTTACCATGTACAGTTACACATATATATGAATATGAATACATATTCCCTGATCCCACAAGGAGTCCTGCCCCACTTTCCTCTATGCAAATTTCTTGACCTGTGTGACTCTGCCTATTGGATCTATACTGCCCCTCAGAATCACTCCATGATGCCTCCTTACGCTTGTTTTTGCACTGTCACATTGATTTCACTCTGTCTCACACAGCCATGCATAGCAGGGTCTTTAGGGTCACAGAGCACAGCTGCAGCAGAGCAGGCTCTTGGGCAGGTCTCTGGATTTGAATGTGTTGCAAAAATTTGAACACTGTAGTAAACCTGACATCCAGAATCTGTATGCTCAAATCATTCCAGCTCTAAAAACTGACAAAGAGAAATAAGGAAATAATACTTGAAGAAAACTGGAAGTGTTATGATTTTCAACAATATTATAGAAAACTAGAGCAAAGGTAGTACTTACTAACTGGAGATGTTCTGCACTGCTGACGTCCATCCAAGTGGAGCACTCTGGTAGGACTCTTGCCCTGTCCAAACCCAGCCTAGATGACACTGTGTCCAGCTCTAATCTGCTATATCCTTTGTCTGTCACCTAACCCCTCATATTCCCCAGGGAACCACCAAGATTGGGGTGTTGGGATCTGCAAAAGGCCCTTGGTCCTCTGTCAGTACCTCCTTGAGGAAAAAGTGGCCACTGCAGAAGATTTAAGCCTGGTTTTTCTGACTTTCTCACTGTATGATGTTTTTCTGCAACCCTCCTGTAGAGTTCACACCCTCTTTCCTAGGGCCCTTGATCCTTGCATTGCACCATAAAGTCAATCCAAGCATCACCCACTCTAGTCGCAGTCACTTCTGATAAAGTCCCACCCAAGACCACATGAGGCTTTGCATTGACCTAAACCCCAGGCTGCTGAAATGGTCCACCTGGGGGTCGGGACATTGAAACCGTGATTGATTCTGTCTTTCCATAATGGACATCTGCTTTTTAACCACATTTCGTGAATATTTCCTGCTTCTTACTCCTGTAAATAAGGTGACAGTAGTATTCAGGTGATTTCAGACTCTGTGCTATGTAAATATTACAGCCAGCTAAGTTAGGTAGAAATAGTATAGGCATACAGACATGGCTAGCCGCTAAGAGAGTCATGGTATGAGAATACATTATGACTGTGACTGGAGGTGCATCCCATAAAGACCAGGCCTCCAGATAAAGACAGAGCAAACTGTGATACAGGGCTCCACAAGGGATGTGCAATATATTCTCACTGGTATCACCTGGTCCCATAAAGCCTAGATAGACGTCTGTTCCTTGAGTAAATGACCAAGACCTCCTGACTAATCTCTTCCAAAGAAACAGAAAGATCCTTGCACTTGCTATGTACAATTGATTCATGACTTATTTCCCATTGCATCAGCAGCATGTAAGCGGCTATACCTGGAATCTTACTGGTTGATCATAGTGTTGTCTCACGTTGTACCTTCCTCTTGATTTGGCACTCACTTTACGATTTCACTCTACAAAATTTCCTTTGAGAATTGGATTTGTGGCCAGCAAACTTTTTGGGTTCTTACCTGACTCATTGAGTAGCTATTCTCTCAAGAAACTTTCCTGCTCTTAACTTTCATTATTCCTTAAAATTCATTCTATGATGTGGAGAAACACAAACTCAGCATATAAAACGTCTAGCAGTTTGGAAGTTTCATTTGTTTCCATTATATCTTTAGGACAGGGAGGAGCACAGGCGGCAGCTGTTGGGGGTGTCGTTGGAGCCCCAGAAACACCAGCTTGATGGTGATGATGCATCCTCAGGGGACAGCCAAGCAGAGACATCCTTGCCCAGGGACACTGAGCCTCGAGTCACAGCCTCAGGACCAGAGGCTACTCCTGCTTTGAGGAAATCTGCGTTGCCCTCATGGTTGTGAAGGCAGTAAGAAAGACAACAGCACTGGATTCAGCTCAGCAGGCATAAGTGCCTGCTTTCTAAGTGTAAGACTTTGAGTTGGGTCCCCAGTAGGAAAGGGACACAAGGCTTGGTCACAGATATGGAGTGGGAAGGGCAGGTTTTTTTTTTTTTTTTTGTCTTTTTCATTTTTATTGGTACCAGGGATCGAATTCAAGACTGCCTGCTTGCAAGGCAGGCGCTTATGCCTGTGAGCTAAATCCCCAGCCCCTCAGGTTTTCAATATGCTTTAAGCTGACCTGTAAATGTAGCTTTTAATTCATTTTAAGCTAATGTGTACTTTTAAATATATGCATTTTAAAAATGCTTCAAAGAAACCTCTGTGTGGTCTCCATAAAAAGAAAGGCAAGGAGATTATTGAATTTTTATGAATTTCCTTCAGAGGATGAGACACGTCCTAGAATTGTTGCCCTGGACTCCTTTGTCTTCCTGGGGACATAATCCTTGGCCTGAAAGAAGTATAAAATACCTAGCTGCAAAAACACTATGAAAAAAGAACATGAAGTATTTCATCTTTCAAGGTTATTTTATAATCAAATACATTAAAAACTTTTAAAGTGGCATTACATTTAATCATGTTACTGAGACTGGCACTGATTTAAGCTTTGTCAATGTTCATTTCTGGAATTTTAATTTAGTGTCACTGGACCATGCTGAAAGGACAGGATTTGAACAGGTATATAAGAGAGGCTACCATCGTTTGTGTCGTGCTGCGATAGCTCGGACCCTGGAATAAAATCGAAGGAAACAAGAAATTTGAAATAAAAGCTTTATTTCAGGCCTGGCAATCCAGGCCCCTCAGGATCGACCCAGATACTGCGCGCCTTACAGACTTGGGGTGGAATATTTAAAGCTAAAACCCACAAAGCTGTTGACTCAGTTCTGATAAAATCTGGAATTCTTGGTACACTCCGTTGTACTCTGCGGTTAAACACTTCTCGGGGGAACAGCCACATTTTACCAAAATCAAGTGAAAAGGGGGTAGGGAATTTACAAGAAGCTGCAAGTCAAGCTTTTTCGTGAACTGAAACTTAACCTATGGGGCGGCACATACAGAACAAGATGGAGGCCCATTAGTTACAGTTAGGCTATAACACGTGCCACACCACAAAAGTTGGCCAGACAGGGACAAAGGTTGTGCACTATACCCCCTGCATCCCTGTGTGAAATTTCTTGCTAGGTAAACCCAATGCTTTAGTTCTCATGCACTTAATTTGCACACTTATGATTATCACATGCCCGTACTGCACACTGGCGTCACAATAGGATATCATTTCCATCACTCACTATTTCTTCCTGGGAATCATATTCCATGTGTTTTCCTTTGCACCTTAGGCAATGTATGTGAAACCCTGATACACTTGCACACTCAGGATGCTGCTATTCATAGATGAACGACTTAAATATAAGAGGCATGGTGTTTACATTTTGCTTGCATAAGAGAAAAGTACACGATGTGAAATAAGAAACAGTCATTTCAATAATGGGTCTTTCAATAATAGGTACAAGAAGTCAATGGAAAAGCTAGAGAAGAGCCAAGAATGGGAATTGAAGCATGTCATATACATCAATGATGTTACAAAGTCCCCTTGCAGTATACAATGTAAATAGGAACTGATAAAAGTTTTAAATTTTTCAGACATTTGTTTATCTGATTATTTACGTTCTCATCACCATGCTTTGAAGACATGCCACAAAACCTAAAAAAACACATTAGTGTACATACGTGTGTGGGTCATTCTGGATAAGTCATTACGTGAATCACTGATCTGGGTGAGAAACAACAGTAATAAGAGAAACTGGTGTAATTCAAGAGGACTGGAAATTGGTGAATCAAAAACGTGGCAAAACAGCTTCAGCATACTTGAATTTTCTGAAAACAGTATGATTAATAGTCAAGATCACTGATACATAGATCAGATACTTCAGTGGTTTAGTGGAAAATACACATTGAAACCCTTTAGTGTATCCCCATTTGGGAGTGTATTTTTTAAAAAAAATATTAACAAATATTAATATAGAAATTTTTGAATTTTTTCTGTAATCTTTTCTATATGAGTGTTTTTCAAGGATTTTATAAAGTCTTAGATATGTAGGATTCTTTTCACTGTGAATGTTTTCATGTATTTCATAACACTCATATATATTGAATACATTTTCCTTTTTTTTTCATTTTCATTGGTACCAGGGATCAAACTCACGACTACCTGCTTGCAAGGCAGGCGCTTATGCTGCTGAGCTAAATCCCCAGCCCCCTATATTGAACGTTTTGCACACTGCTTACATTGTTTTCACCAAAGCATGACGTAGTTCTGAGGGTAAGAGTGTCTTTCCGTTGAACTGTTTCTCACTTTTTTACTAATCAGAGATCCTTCCCAGTGTATGCTCCTTTTATGGTTATAAAATGAGGGCCTTATAGCACATCTTTTCCCACACTGCATACATGCATACTGCTTCTCTCCAGAATGCACTGTCTCATGTATTTGATGGCTTCTTTATGTACTGAATGGTTCCCCATGTTGCTCACATAGATAGGGTTATTTCTCTGTGAATTCCTTCATGTATGTGACAATTACTCTGTGGCCGAAACATTTCCCATGTTGCTTACATAAACAGGATTTCTCCAAAGTGTGAGTTCAATCCTGTTTTATAATGCACGTATGTACTAAATTTTTCTGTACATCCCTTGTCCATAGGGCTTCTCTGCAGTGTGAATTCTTTCATGTTTTTGACAGCGATATTGTCTAGTGAATGCTTTTCCACACTGCTTACATATGTAGGGTTTCTCTCCAGTGTGAGTTCTACTATGTACATTATATTGATTCTGTGTTCTGAATGCTTTACCACACTGCTCGCATGGATAAGGTTTTTCTCCAGTGTGAGTTCTATTATGTATTTCAAGATTATGCTTACTGTTGAATGATTTCCCACATTTCTTACACACATAAGCTTTCTCCTCACTGTGATTTCTTTCATGTGTTTGACAGTAATGGTATGTAGTGAATGCCTTCCCACACTGTTTACATACATAAGGCTTCTCCCTGGTGTGTGTTCTTTCATGATTTTGGCAGTTTCTGTTTTTGCTGAATGCTTTCCCACATTGCTTACATACATAGGGTTTCAACCCCGTGTGTGCTCTTTCATGAATTTTATAGTCACTTTTTGTACTGAATGCTTTTCCACATTTCTTACATACATGAGGTTTCTCCCCAGTGTGATTTCTTTCATGTATTTGACAACTATATTGTCTTGTAAATGCTTTCCCACATTGCTTACATATGTATGGTTTCTCCCCAGTGTGTGTTCTTTCATGAGTTTGACAGTGGCTATATCTCATGAATGCTTTCCCACATTGCTTACATTGGTAGGGTTTCTCCCCGGTGTGTGTTCTTTCATGAGTGTGACAGTTACTGTTACTGCTAAATGCTTTCCCACAATGCTTACGCACATAGGGTTTCTCCCCAGTGTGGGATCTTTGATGTGCACAAAGTGTGGAATTACTGACAAATCCTTTTCCACACTGCTTACATATATAGGGTTTCTCTCCAGTGTGAATTCTTTCATGTATTTGAAGCTTACTCTTTTTAGTGAAAGGTTTCCCACATTGCTTGCATATGGAGAGTTTCTTCCCAGTGTGAGTTACTTTATGCTTTTGAAAGGAATTACTATGAGCTAATGCTTTTGCACATTCTTTAGAAACATAGGGTGTCTCTCCAGTATGACTTTTTTCATGTACTTGAACATGGTGTGAAGAAACACAAGTTTCCTCACACTGTTGTATACATGTAGAGGTCCCACGCCATGATTTCTTTTACGGATTTGAACACCACTTTTTGTACTGGAGACTTTCACACTTTTCTTACTTACAAAAGTCTTCTTCCCAGCCTGAGTTTGTTCACTAACATCAGAGTAAATTTTCTCGCATTGCTTATATTGATAGGGTCTCTCTCCAGTCTTTCTCATTTTATGCTTCTGTAAGGACCGGACATCACTGCAAGCTTTTCCGAGTTCATTATGCTGATATAGCTTCTCTTCAAATCTCAAATACTTGTCTGCATCATTTCTGCAAAGCGCAAAGAGAAACATTATCAAGTACAATGAGAAAGGTCTCCATAGAAATAATTATGTGCCAGGATAAGGTCTGGTTTTATATCTGCTAAGAAGTTTAAATGATGAATCAACTTAATGCCTTGAAGGATACCTTCAGAAGACTCGTTTTTAGTGGAACTCTTTCATTTGAGAACTTCAAATTGGCATATGATCCCTATATGTAATATCTAGTTTCTTTTTAGGAGATGGGTACATATGTATATCAGGTATTTATCATTTTGCCATCTCTTCCCCCATCACGCTCTCGTTCTCTCCATACAGTGATCATCTTGCCTATCTCCACAGGTCAGGTTTTCTGTTTTGTATCACCTCCACTTTAGTTTATTTCCTAAATATATTTGTCATTTCTTGTTAAAGAGAAAACACGTGGTATTTCAACTTGTATCTGACATATTTCACTTATCATTATGGAATGGAACCCCATCCTTTTTTTTTTGACAAAGGAAATTATTCATTTTTATGGCTGAAATTATAGTATATTTTCTCATTGATTAGAAGTAAACACAGGTCTATTGACAGAATTTCATATCCAGTTTTATTATTCCTTATTTCAAGAGAGATTCTTACTATTACTTAGGCCAGGCTGAACTTTGAGTTGTCATCCTGCCGACTCATCTTCCCAGAGGCTGGGATTAAAAAGATGCACAAGTTGGCTAAGCCTGTCCCATGCTGTCTTCACCCAGACATTCAGGAAGGCCATGGAGACTCTTTCCAGAGCTTGGCCTCTGTGATTACCAACAAGGCCCTGCTTTGAACATCAATATGTATGCATGTATCATTAAAATTTGATGGTTTTTATCTCATTACAGAATATAGTCAGGAGGTACAACTGGATCACATAGAAACTTATGTTTTAGTTTTTAAGATATCTGTACATTGATGGTTATTTATTTTTTGACATATGACAATATACGAAGCTGAAATGCAGTTTTATGCATTTACATGAGGATGATGAAAGAATTTTTTATAATTACCTAATAGATATTGTCACTAGTTACATAATGTCACTATTGTCTCAGTTGCTGAGAGTAGTACAGTTCTGCACTAGATTAGATTATAGAAAATAAACCTGTATGCATGGCTAGAAATTTTTGTGGGACCAAATAAATTTTAACATGGTTGTTTCTTTGGTTTCCTTGGTTGTAATATTTCTGCTCATAAACTGACTCTTGAATATGTTTTTCCCTTGTGAGTGAAAATTACCTTAAATTTCTTGAATAATTTTTGTATTCTTCTTCAATTTGCTGGTTATCCCTGGTTTTTCCTAAATTATAGACATAGAAATATAAAAAGGCACTATAAATATTAATAGATTCTAGCTCAATTCATGGTGTAATGTAACAAGGCTTGAGAAACAGTTGAAAATATTATAACACAGTATTTAACTGAATTACATCAGAGAGAACAAAATCAATGTTCTGTGTTTACAGAAGATGGAAAATGATGTCATCCTTACCTACAGCACTCATATTCATAAATGTCTCCCATATCACATCTCTATAGAGCTTCTTCTGGGATGGATTCAGCAGAGCCCACTCTGCCGTGGTGAAGTTCACAAATACATCCTCAAAAGTCACTGTCTCTTAAATAATGACAGGGGTCCTCGAGGTTCAGAATCACACCTTGAAGTATAACAACTCCTTTCATAAAAAGCTGAATTGTGATGACTCCTCCTTCAAATACTGATTCCGTGTCTTGGTCAGCAAACATATACGTCAGTATTTTCACAACAATTTTCATGGTAGATTGCAATACAGTGGTAAAGCAAAGCAGAACAGTGGCAGGGCTTGTCCTACAGTCACCTACATTGTACCTGTGCAGTCTCTAAAGCAAAGCTCAGGGAGGGAGGTGCAAATTGCCACTCACAAAACACAGAAGCAGACAAGTATCTAATGAAGGGTTCTGAAAGGCCATAGTTTATATCTCTTTTCAAATCTCGTTTTTCATAGCATTGAGCCATCTTTCTTTGTAATTAGGCAGTCTTTTGAAATCTGCACATGGTTTCACTAAAAAAAAACTTAATTGAACATTAAGTAAGATTTACAAATAATTAAAATACTAATGAAAACAAAGTTTTATTGAAGCAAGTCTATGGACAATGAAAATAGGGGAAAGGTGGAATATTATGGCCCAGTGACAAGAAATGATTACCTGGCATTCAAATACAAGAACCTCAAGGATGGTGTAAGGGAGGATAATAAGACAAGGAATATGAATGAAATATATCAAATGCAAGGAAAAGAAAGATATCATAAAGTAAGTATTCACTAACTACAAAAGGAAAACTTGTGCCAAATAGTATTACGAAGGAGGCACATCTTTATTTTTTATTTATTTTTTTTTTTTGGCCTTTTTCCTTTTTATCGGTACCAGGGATCGAACTCACGACCGCCTGCTTGCAAGGCAGGTACTTATGCCGCTGAGTTAAATCCCCAGCCCCTGAAGGAGGCACTTCTTAATAATACATCAAGCAAGCAAACACATACTCTCTTTCAAACAGTATACTGCTCTCCTCTTTTGGTTACTGAGGAGAAAGAGGTTAATACAGCATTCCAAACACAAAAACCATCTGCTGTGAGCCATATTCTGCAGAGGGCTGTATGAAGACTTGGACGAAAAGTACAGATGCTACTCCACATTCAAAGGAAAAATGTCTCGATATACATAAAGCAAACTGAAGATAAAATATACTGAAAAGACACAAAACATATTAAAGAAACTTCACTGATAAGCTTTAGATTCTTTAAACTTGCTCTACACACACACCTTGAGCTGTATTTGCGGATGTTTATGTAACACGACTCCAAATTTATAATAAACACTAAATCTATCATGTAGTTTATTGAATGCAGTACACTGTGAATCACTGGTTGTTCTCCCGTGGTGTCCTATTTCTGAAAGAGCAGTGACTCATTACTGTTATCCCCCTTCACGAGGAAGTACTACTTTGTGCCATGGGCTACCACTGTCAAAGAGGAATAAATTTTGAGATGGTTAAATATAAGACTTTTACTCAAAACCTTTTCATTTCTAAAGCGTTAACTCATGGCCTACTGTGTAATAGACCAGGTAGTTTACAGTGGATGTACCCCTGCAATGTTTATTTCATACTGACAAAGGATCTTGCTCGGTTATCCAGGCTGGGCTTGGTGATTTATACCCCTAAGTGTCCAAGTGTCCCAAGTGGTTGACATTAAAGGTGTGAAGCACCAGGCCTCACTGATATTTACTTTACACAAGCACTGAAATCTTTGTAAATCATAGTGACTTTAAAATTCCAGTCTCAGGTGGGCGTGGTGGCAGAAACCTGTGTCCCAGCACTCAATTACAAATTCAAAACCAGCCTGAGCTACAACGTGAGCTCAAGGCCAGCCTGAATCGCTTACAGAGACCAGGTCTCAAAAAGACAAATATAAAGTAAGATAAATAAATAAAGTAAGTAGAAATCCCAATCTTAATCTAGCAAGCTGGCCCATGTCTGTGCTCCCAAACACTAAGGAGGTGAAAATACTATCAAAATTTGTCCCAAATCTGGGCAAATTAGTAACACCTTGGTTCTAAAATTAAGAAATAGGGGCTGGGGGTTTAGCTCAGCGGCATAAGGGCTTGCCTTGCAAGCTGGCAGTCCTGAGTTTGATCCCCTCTACCGATAAAAAGGAAAAAAGACAAAATAAAATAAAATAAAAAAGAAAATTCCGTTTCCTTTTTACTTCTCTTTGTTGTTGCCTAAGCATAAAAACCCTTTTCATTCTATTCAGTCATATGCCCATACATCTTCACCATGGGAATCCATCCCTACTTCAGTCCTTGTTTCATACAGAGTCCATCCCAACCACTGTTCCAAATTTTAACATAATATCTTGAAACATTCTATGGACTACAACAACTTTTTCAAAAATGACACTTCTTTTCCCTGCCACTCATACTATTATCACATACTGTGCATGTCTCTATAGATGCCCCACTTCAATGCTTTTCTCAGTATGGGTTTAGTATCCAGCCCCTTCAGGATGTTGTTCTGAGCAGGAACACTTTCTCCTCCAATTTTTTCAGCATTCTAAATTCTTTTTGTTGTTGTTTTCGGGTTTTTTTTTTTTTTTTTTTTTTTTGAGACAGGCTTTGCTATGCAACTCATGCTGGCTATGGACTCACTTTATAACCGAGATTGTCCTCCAACTCCCAAGTATTCTCCTACCTCAACCTCCAGCACAGACATTACAGGCATGTGTCACCACACCTGGCTCAATATTCTGAATTCTATGGAAAGCCTCACTGAAATAGTCTCATTGTAAAGAATATTATGATTAGTTAGCATTGAAATAAGGCACCTAGCAGGGAAATGGTTTGAGACAGAGTTGGGTAATTAGCCATTTTGACAACAATTAAAATGAGAATGGAAGAACACACTGGTAATCCCAGGCTGAGGCAGGAGGATCACCTCAACTTCCATATCAGCCTAGGCTACACATTGAGTTCAAGGCCAGTTTGAGTTACAATGTGTGACCTTGTCTCAGAAAACAAACAAAAGAAAGAGAGGGAATGAGAGAGAATAGAAAAATTTAAACGACTTTTTCTCTAAAGCTCCAGTTTCCTTAATGCCCTGTGTGTTAAGAAAATAAATTGGAGAACTTCAGTTCAAAGTTTTTTGAAATCCACAGATCCATCTGTAATAGGTGGTCACTACACAATTCAGCAATTACTGGGCTCTCCTTCTTTGTATATAACTATCGATTGAGCGATCACATTGGTACCAACTGGACATACTGCCTTGAAATCAGGGCGCTATTGTTATTTCCAGTAAAATCTCTCCTAACAACCTTTTTTGGGGCAGAGACCTAATTCTTCAGAGTGTAAGACCACATGAAGAACTCTATTTACGTACTAACTGAAAGGTTTTGGCCCAGACAGGACACTGTAGCCAGGAAAGCCACAACCGGAAGCAGGAAGCCCCTTCTTGCCCTGCCCCTAGGAAGTTACCTGTGACGCCATCTTCCCGCCCCTGGGAATTTACATATGGCGCCAAACCTAGGACCAATGGGCTACCTGTTTATCCCTAATGCCCGCCTTAGGTTCCACCCCAAACCGAGACTATTTACAGGCCCCCACGCCACGTGTCTGCCGGAGAGATCGCCGGACGCCAGCGGTGGGGGTGCCGGTTATCTCTCTCCATGTTCTCAGAATAAAGGCCGCTTTTTATATTTCTCATCTTTTGTTAATATTTTTCATCTTTTGGAAATAACTCTATCATTTGGTGCCGTGACTCGATCGGCAGGCAACTGACTCTTGGGCCACATACCCAGAGTCTCCTAGCCGATAACCAGATAATATCCTGGATTAATCCCGAGCTTTTTCCTCTCCCGAGACGTTCCTGTCGCCAGCCGCCTGCATTCCGCATCAGCCAGACTGATTTCAGGTGAGCACTCCCCGGGGAACTTTTCGCACTGGGCAGCCCCAGTGGAATGTTCTCCCCGTCTGCATGGGTCTGTGCATTTTCACGTCCTTAGTACCGCCCAGGGCAGGGTTCTTTCTGGGTAAATCTGCGTCCACAAAATCTCTCACGTTCCTTGGGTTCAGATAGCCCAAAGCAGGGATCTTTGGGACCACCCACACTGAAAGAATGCCTCACTTCCCTTAAAGCCTTGCGCTTTCACGGGCAAAACTGTTACTGACCCCACGTAGACTCCATTCATAAATCTGTCAGTGACGACTGGAATTTACGAGTTTTTGGAACCTTAGCCCTGCGTGGTACCACAAATGAGTGACGACTTGTTCTGGATCTCCGGTTTTTTTTCTTGCCTGAATCAGTCATGGGGAACGTATTTTCTAACTCCCAAAAGACGCCTTTACAGTGCCTAATTTCCAATTTACGTACTCAAAAATTAAAGGTACCATAAAAACTAAACAACTAACTTTTTACTGCCAGGAGGTCTGGCCAACCTACCCGCTTATCAGCAAGCCTTGGCCCAAAAAAGGAACATTTGACCCCTGCATTCTCAGGAACTTCTACGATTTTTGTCAAGCTGGCAACAAGTTATTAGAACTCCCTTATGTCCAAGCCTTTCTTATTCTGAGAACACGCCCATCTCTCATTAAGTCTTGTGCTCCTGCTGAGATACTTTTAGCTAACTCTACTGCACCGCAAACTTTTCCATCCTGCCCTCTGTTGTTTTCCCAGCCGCCGCCTGCCTACCACCAAACTCGTTCCCTGCCGTTACCTCCCGCCGGGCCACTCTCCCCTCCCCCTATGCCTGATTCTCCCAGCAGCTCTAATCCCTCTCCGTCGCAGATACCTCCCGCGGTGCGATCATCTCCCTCTCTGCCTTCCGGGACCCATAACTCTCCCAGCAGCTTTAATCCCTCTGTTAGCGCTTCCTCGCAGTCTCCGACTTCCTCTCCTGAGAATTCTGTATCCCCTACAGCATTCTCACCACCCGCCCACCATACTAGGTCTCGGTCGCTATGTCCTTCCAGCAGGCCGTGTGATTGTTCCAGCTTGCGCCAGGAACAGTCGCCATGTTGCAACCCTCTGCCACGTGGCATGGCGCCGCCATGTTCAGGAGGGCCACATGGCGACAGGGCGCC